GCTACCACGGCTTATGTTAGTGGTGGGCAGCATAAATTACTTTTTAATACAGTTGCTCAAAAAGTGGCATATTGCAGGGACGTATAGCGTTCGGGACGTGGGCTATCACATACTCGAACTTTTTCTTACCCTTTTCCTAACTCGTGCGTTCTCTTTCCTAACTATCAAAATAATGTCTATTAAAAAGAAAAACCAAACCACTATGTTTAATAAAAAAATTCATAGATGTTTTTATGATTCATGCTAATATTTCTAAAAGAAACTACTAATTTGTTTCAACATCAGATTTAATGATTTGATTCAATGAGTTAGGTTAGGATAATGATTAATTCAATGCGTTAGGTTAGGTTTCATTTCATTTAATTTAATTTCATCTCATTAAATTTAATTTTTATTTCATATTAATAAAAAAAATTCTACCGAAGACTTGGCTGCATGTGTATAGTTTCCTTTGCCTACACAGAATGGGTATAGAAAACAAAAAAAATCTCTGCTTATACGGTTGGCGCCATTTTCCAAAAATTATCTTTGCAAGTTTAGTTGTTTGTTGCACAAAATGAGTAATTTCAACGATATTTTATTTGAACTAACACCACCAGAACTCAGTATAATTGCACAAAATGCTTCGGGGAATATTTTACCGGAAAAGTGAAAAAGTCGCTAGAATTTATTGCTTGGAGAGAAGAGAAAAAAGCAAATAGTTTTTCAGAAAATGTTATGTTGGTATACTTCTCCGAACTTTCAGCAAAATAAAAACCTTCTACGTTATGGTCAAGGTTTTCGATGATAAAAAGTATGCTGAAAATATGGAACGACGTGGATATAAGTGAATACCCAACACTAAATGCTTTCTTAAAACTACAATCAGACGGTTTCACAACTAAAAAGTCGAAAATATTTAACACCGAATGAAGTGGAAAGGTTTTTGAACGAAGCTCCCGATGATCATTATTTAGCCACAAAGGTAATTTATCAATAAATACTTATATTTTTCTTTAGTATTCAGTTTACGAAATCGCAAAATACAGTCAATATATTGTGTAAAAAATATTAATCAAATCCCTTTTTTTGTAGGTTGTGCGCTGATTTTTAACGTGGTTGGAGCTTGCCGCAGAGAGGAGTTAGCCATTATTACTTTAAAAGATATTGAAGCTCATGAAAAAATGCTACTAATCAAGATTTCGAATACAAAAAATAAGATACCGAGAAGCTTTGTTGTTGAAGGAGATTTTTTTAGAATAAAAATAAAAAATATGTAAATCAGCGGTCCCAAAAAGCAAAAACCGACCGTTTTTCTAAAATTATCAAAAAGGGAAGTGTACAGCTCAAGCAATCGGGATAAACAAATTTGGTGATATGCCAAAAGAAATAGCTACGTTTCTTAGTCTGCCGGATGCTGAGTATTATACTGGGCACAGCTTCAGGAGGACCTCTGCTACATTATTGGCAGATCCAGGAGCTAATTTGACATCCTTAAAGCGACTAGGAGGTTGGAAGTCAGACAAAGTTGCAGATGGCTATATTGCTGATTCATTAAACAACAAATTAGAAACTGGGAAAAAATCACACAATCCATTAATTTAAAGTTCAGTCCATCTCCTTCACATGACAATACTGAAGAGAACGTTCGTCAATCTCTACCTTCGTTGATAATGATTATTCATCATGTCCATTTCCATCAACTAGCAAACTCCATTGTATAACACCTTTGACAAATGTACATGAACAATCATACGAAATTAATAATAGTTTGTCACAAACTTTAAATATGCAACCTAAAACTTCCCCAGTTAGTATAAAAAACTGTACCAATTTCAATGTAACATAAAACATAACATAAACACTCACGCCTGTCACCCAGAGGGGTAGGCAGAGACTACAGATTTCCATTTGGCACGATCCTGACACACCTCTATCGCCTCCTTCACATCCATATACCTACGCATATATGCTCGTTGGTTAAGGGTGCTCCTAATTTGGCCCGTTTTCAATAAATCGCCAATTTGGTCGATAAATTTTTGCCTAGGACGTCCGTTTCCGACTCTGCCATTCACTTCTGCAACATAAATTTTTTTTCTCATTCTTTCCTCATTCATTCTTTCCACATGAACAAACCACCGAAGCATTCCTTTCTTAATCCTGGTCACAACATCATCTTGCAAACCACACTCTTCTCTTATCACACTATTTCTCACCCTGTCATTCAGATTCAGCCCTAACATACTCCTTAACGACCGCATTTCTACTGCGTTCATTCTACTCTCGTGCTTCACCACACCCAACTTTCGCTACCATACGTTAAAGTTGGGACCAACACAGCATTGTGAATTGCCATACGTGCCTTTTTCGACACATTTTGACTCTTCACAATAGAGTGTAGGGCCCCATTTACTCTATTGCCTGCATTCACTCGTCGTTCTATATCCTTATCACATCTCCCATCCCTGCTAAATACGCTACCCCAATATACAAACTCATCTACTAGCTCGATCAACTCTCCTTCTATTCTTATTTCACATATCGTTTTACTTTCTTCTCTTTCAAAAACCATAACTTTCGTCTTACTTGCATTCACTTTCATACCCCTTTTTTTTTAGTGATCTGTTCATTAATGTAACCATCATTTGCAACTCGGCCGCCGATGACGCAAGAATAACTTGATCATCGGTGTACAAAAGGCGTACTAGAGTCTCTATAAAGAGACTCCAATGCCTGTATCAAGCCAGCGCTCAACCCAAATGAGTTCAGTGTTTGCAATCCCTATCTACTCTGTCATTGGCCTTTTCCAAGTCCATTAACGCACAAAAAACCTTTTTATTTTTTGCTAAAAACTTCTTCGCGATCATGCGCATGGAAAATACTTGATCTGTACATCCCATTCCCTTTCTAAATCCCGCTTGTACATCCCAAATTTTTCCATCAGTTTCTTTCATGACCCTTTCAATCAGTACCTAAGCATACAGTTTTCCCACAATGCTAAGAAGGCTGATACCGCGGTAGTTTTTGCAGTCCTGCTGCGACCCTTTTCCTTTATATACTGGGACTATCACGGCTTTGCACTAGTCTACGGGTACCCGCTTAAGTTCCCAGCATAAATTAAACAAGGTATGCAGCAGGCCTGCCCAGCCACTTCCTCTCCAGCCCTTAGCATTTCGAGTGAAACTCTATCATATCCGGCAGCCTTACCTGCTTTCATGCTTTTCATTTCTTTCATTATTTCATTTATACTTATCTCTCTACCTCTTTCCTCTTCTTTCGGAGTTTCTACTTCATTTAATTCATACGTTGTCTCCTCACTCATAAATACGCTTTCAAAATATTCCTTCCATCTCTTTAAACTCAAAACTTCATCATTCAGAATAAATCCATTCTCGTCTCTTATAGCATTCATTATAGGCTGTTTTGAATGTCGCCTGGCAGTTCTTACGAGTTTCCAGAACATTTTAATATTCGCCTGGAAGTTATCCGATATTCTTCTATCATTCTTATCCGTTCTTTCTTACTTTTTCCTTTCAACTACTTCTTTTACTCTCTTACTTAGATGTCTAAAGACTGCCTTTTTTCTTTCAATATCATCATTCGTACCGCTAGAATTACCAGCCTTTGTTGCTAGTAAATCTAGCCACGCTCTCTTCTTTGCTTCAACTTCCATACGTATCTCATCATCCCACCATAACGTATTATTTTTCCTTTCATTCTTTCTCTTACTAACACCACATACTTCGGTAGCTGCATCCACTAAATCTTTCTTAACATTTTGCCATACATTCTCCAAGTCTAACTCATTCATACATAATTCATCCAAACCACTTATATTTTCTTTCAGTCTACATTTGAACTTGTTTTTCTCACCTTCCTATTGTAGCATTTTTGTTCTAATACGCTGTAACGCAGTGGTAGACACAGATGACCGATGGCGCCAACGCCAGAATAGACCATTAATTCGGCATAAAACCAGATAATGATCCGTTCCTATGTTAGAACCCCGGTAGACCCTTGTATCTACCACTGCGCCCCTCATTCTTTCATCCACAATTATGAAATCTATCATGCATCTATCATCATCTTTATCCAAGTATACATGTGAATCCTCTTGTGGCGAAAGCAAGTGTTCGTCACAAAAATATTCTTTTCCATACATACGGTGAGGAGGCTTTCACCATTCTCGTTTATGCTTTCATCACCAAACGTTCCCAATATCCTTTCATAACCAAGCCTCCTCACCCCAACCCTTCCATTAAAATCTCCTAGCATAATAATATTTTCATTTTCCTTACATTTCATTAACACTATCCTTACCATTTCCCAAAACAGGGGTGTGACAGCTGCTGTCATGCAAAATCGATCTCTGTTAATTATTAAATTTAAAATTAGTCCAACTTGTTGAAATTCGGTAGTGTGTTGTGTTATGTGACTACTGTTTATAATAAATGGACAAAAGTGTTATCTAAAGGAAATATTGAACATTTCTTGTGCTATCAATACTAAAGTGATTCGAGTGAATAGTGTATAAAACAATAAATGCTAATAATTGTTTTTCTCAACTGTTACTCTATAACATACCGTTCTCGTTAAAAGAATGTTTTACAAACACCTTACTGGTTCTAGTTAGTGGAAAAGAACTAAAATATTGTGTAATTAATCTAAAGTGAACGTTTATCATTTCAAATTTGACATTCATAATATAAACACCAACCAGCTGATGATAAATTCCGTAACTATAAATTATAGTCACTAGATGTCATAACTTTATATTGAAAAAATCTACGGTGAAAGTGACATCTAGTAAAAAGATTAGAACCACGCAACGACTTTTGCTTAGAGGTAACAAGAACATAAGTTGATGTTTGGCTAATAATACTTGCCTATTATACAAGATGTCTCTGACCTGTATAAAATGCACTAAAGAAATTATTAACAAGCAAATTCTGGTGTGCATCTCATGTGAGAAATCATTTCACTTAGATTGTACAAGCATATCATTTCAAAGATTTAAAATAATGTCAACATCTTCCAAAAAAGCATTCAAATGCGATACATGTCTCAGAGCATCTACCAGTAAATTACAGCAAATACCTGATAAAGTCAGGATTGAAAATGTAAATATAACAAAACGAAAGAAAATTAACAAAAATATTTCCTTACAAAGCTTATCTGACCATCTCTCTGATGGAGAAGAAACTGATTATTCCTCTATCAATTCTACACCAAATCATCAATTAAACCGAAGACTATCTCTGCATATGCAATGTTATGATGAAATTAGTGAACTGAAACAAAAAATACTGAAGCTGGAGGAAAATCTTGAGATAGCAGAAAATGAAATAAGGAATTTATCTTCAGAAAACCATAACTTAAAAAAAAAAGTTGCGGAATATGAGCTAAAGGTCAATCAGTTGAAACACATATGTAAATCTACCCCATCAAGTTCAAGTAAGTCCACGAAAAAGAAAAAGAAAAAAGTAAAGAAAATAGACTTTAATATATCCCTAAAGGAATCAGAAAACCAAAATCCTCCTCACATACATCTTGCACCGAGTAGTTGCCCCTTAACGCAACTAGATGGCAGCACGTCAACAGAGAACTTTAACACCTGCGTCACTGTTGGGACCTCACAAGAAGGTGCAACACCAAAAAAACAAGAAGTCGACAACTTAAATCGCAAAAAGAATCGCATTTTCATTCTTGGTGATGACCAACTACGTGGATTGTCTTCAGCTCTAACAATGTCAAGATGTGGAAAATGGAATAACACCTATAAAATCTATGGCCATATTATGCCTGGAGCTATTAGTGAAGAAATATTACGAAACTGTGATCATTCTTTGTTAAATGAACTAACGGAAAATGACTTTGTAATAGTTGGTATCGGTAGTAATGATAAAGATTTACATAGGCTCCATTCTGACATATGTATTTTAATCAAAAAATTATTTAAGGCGACTGTACTTTTATTACCTATTTTGTATAATCCGTATATGAATGAAAACACATTAAACTACAATTTACAATTATGGACAAAGCATTTTGAAAATGTTAGATATATTGACATTTTTAAGAATTTTAATTATTTTAATTATTACAAAAATAGCTATTTGACAAATGTATGCGACAAAATTAATTTATTAATTGATTATAACGACTATAAAAAGCAATTTTTATGTTATAAAAACATTAGATTGTATATAAAAAGTTCTGTTCTAGTATCTAACAAAAAGGTTCAACAGCTCCCAAAAAAAGGCACTATACCATTTTATTTTCAAAAAATAGAGAAAAAAATTAACAACTTTGAAAATCAAATTGAACAAACTTTGAATGATAATGCAATAATTAAAAATTCCACTGATAAGTTATTTCGTGACAAAAAATAATGATTCTAATCTTAGAATATTTCACCAAAACATTCAGAGTTTTTCGAGAAAAAAAGGAGATTCTTGAAATTGCATTGACTGAGCTGCATAGCAAAAATATGGTTCCTGATATATTATGCCTTAGTGAAACTTTTATAGAAGCAGGTAGCGAAAAAAATCTTCGATTACATGGTTTTGATCTTGCTGCCTCTTATTGTAGAAAAAACAAAACAAAAAGGGGTGGTGTGTGCATATTGGCCAAAAAGGGTTTATGCGTTAAGGTACTTGAGGAAGTTAATAGTATAGGTCAGGACCATTACCTCGAATGTTGTGGTATTCAGATTGTTAAATACAATATTAAAGTTATTTGTATATATAGAGTTCCAAGAAGTAACATACATGATATAGACTTGTTCTTTGAAAATCTAGAATACCTCTTTTTCAAAACCATAAATAAAAGTACTAAGACTAAATTCGTATTTGTTGGTGATTTTAATATTAATATAATGGAAAATAATAAAATCGCCGAAAAGTTGCATAATCTCTTAAAAAATTTTAATCTAACGTCACATATCAATCAACCTACTAGGTTGAACTCCTGTCTTGACCTTATCCTTAGTAATGTGAATAATGCTACTGCAGAGTTATTACCACTTGCTCTATCGGATCATGACATGGCTCAAATGCTACACGTTCCTGTATCAAACAAAGAAATACCTCTCCCAAAGTACTATATTATGAAACGAAACTATTGTAAAGAAAATTTTAATAAATTTAAATACTGTATATCGAGATTAACGTTTTCTGATGTCTTTAATGAATCGAATTTGAATGTAGCTTTCCAAAACTTCTTTGATACTTTTATGTTATTTTATGAGCTATGCTTTCCTAAAATTAGGATATGTATTAATAATAGAGTTCGTCGACCTAAGTGGATATCAAAAGGACTGAGGAAAAGCTGTACAATGAAGAGGAAGCTTAGGTTTAACTACTATAAAATAAAATCGAACCAGAATAAAATAAAGTATATGATCTATTCCGCTGTACTAAGACGTTGTATAAATCAAGCGCAAAGACTTAATAATGATAAATATATTGAGCAATCAAAAAATAAATGTCGTGCTTCCTGGAATATAATAAAAAATCAGACTTGTTGCATAAATAATAATTTAATTCAAAAAGTTTGTATAAATAACAATTATTTGACAGATCCTCAACAAATTGCTGAAGCCTTCAACAACCACTTTATTGAATCAACAAATATCAATAATATCAGTAATCAGTGCCAAAACACTAATAGTCTAAGAGTATGTAATAGCATGTATTTAGAAATGTATACTGTTGATGAAGTATTGAAATTAATACAAACATTAAATAATACGAAGTCGGAAGGTTTTGATGGTATTTCAACGGATGTTATTAAAAGTTGTTGTACGGTTTTAGGTAGAGTATTAACTTACCTAATAAACCTGTCATTTAAAAAAACTACTTTTCCTAGTATCTTAAAAAAGTCAGTTGTTAAGCCGATACATAAAAAGGGTGACTCTAAAAATTTAAACAATTATAGACCGATTAGTATAGTCTCAGTTTTATCTAAAATATTTGAAAAGGCAATGGCTAAACGTATTATAGACTTTACGATGAAATATAATTTAATTAAAAGTGAGCAATATGGCTTTCAAAATAATAAATCTACAAGCCTTGCTGGATATGATCTTGTTGATGCAATTGTTAAGGCTATAAATAATAAGCTAAGAGTTACAGCAATCTTTTTTGATATGTCGAAGGCCTTTGACTTTGTATCCCACAAAATACTCTTACAAAAACTTGATAATTTGGGGTTTCGAGGCCCTGTCCTAGATTGGATTGCTAGCTATCTAAGAAATAGGATACAATTTGTAGAATTAACAAATATTGATAATTCACAGACATTAACTTCCTATAAATCCAGTGATAGATTAAATTCATTTGGAGTTCCACAAGGTTCCGTATTAGGGCCAATTCTTTTCCTTTTATATATAAATGACTTACCTGACTCAACTTCATACAAATGTATTTTATTTGCTGATGATATTTCAGTTATTGTGACATCTAAAAAAGACATTGACATTGACATCTATGAATCTAATATTAATAATACTATTGACAATATTTCAAAGTGGGCGACATATAATAATTTATGCATTAACGTAGAAAAGACATGTTATATTCAATTTAGTAATTATGGAACATTGAATAATAATCTAAATATATATTGCAATGGACAATCTGTTAATGAAATGACTGAAACAAAGTTTCTGGGAATATTATTGGACAAACATGTGAACTGGAAAGCCCAAGTTGAAAAAGTTTGTTCTAAAATAAATAGCTATATTTTTCTTCTTAGCAGACTGAGAAGAATTACATCTCATGAAACATTACTAACGGCGTACTATGCATACATTTATTCTGCACTCGATTATGGTCTTTTGCTTTGGGGTAACAGTACAGATGCTATTAAAGCCTTTACAGCCCAAAAGAAATGTATTCGAGCTATGAATGGTTTGGCACCAGATTCATCGTGTAAACCGTATTTCAAAAAATTACACATTTTGACGCTGCCATGTATGTACATACTAAATTTGGTATGTTTTGTTAAAAATAATATACTTTTATTCACAAAGCTAAGAAATACTGCACGGAGAAACTTGAGGCATACTGAAAGATTGACACATAGTGTAATGCCAAGCACTAGCCTCTATAGGAAAAATTGTTCAGCTATGTGTATAAAAATTTTCAATGCACTGCCTATAGAGTTTCAATCACTCCCAAAGGTACGTTTTCGCAGGGTAGTCAAACAATGGCTTGAGGAGCAATGCTTCTACTCTGTTGAAGAATATTTAAATTTTTTGATAAGGATTAGGGATCGATATTAAAATGAATTATGTAACTACTATCATATTATTTTAATTAAATTAAATGTAATAAAATTATTATAATGATTTTGAAAACATGTTATTAATTTATTAGTTGTGAAAATGTAATTAATGTTTTAGATAAATATTTGTATGTCAATATTATGACAAAACATGCTGGATTTAAATGATTTACCAACCTGTAATGTACCATGTTTTCTGCAAATAAATTATGATTATGAAAAAAAAAAAAAAAAAAAAAAACTGCTCTCGGATATAAGTGGGCTTGTCTGGGGCGTAGACCCCTAGCACAAACAATTTCTTTAAGCCCACTTTCATTCGTATCCATAGCAATCTTGGCCTTACACATTCATACTCTTTCACACATTGGCCCATTCTTTTTGAAAGGATGATATCAATCCTAATCATATATATATATATATATATATATCGATCGATATATCGATCTCGTCTACCCCTGACCAGTATGCGGTATACATGCCATGTGTAGTGACATCCTTCCCCTTCCGTTTCGTCTCATTTACGCATAAAACATCTATTCCTCTATCATACCATATCGCATACTTCATCCATTTTATCATTCATTGCTCCACATACATTCAACGTAGCCAGACGGGCCTCTGCAATCCACTTTTCGCCCCTCCGGGAGACAGCACGTGACGGGTGGCGAACCTCGTCGCCGTTTTTCCTCCCGGAGATTCTTCGCACCCCTGTCCCATTAAAGTGACGCCGGCAACTCGGGGCCATTTCCTTTATTCGGTTCCTCATAGTGCGAAATATAGGGTAGTATATTTTACGCCGCTACTAAGGCGAAGAGCCGAGTCTGTGCTATCGGCTTTAATTTCAATGTATATATGAATTATAAGTTTTATAAGAAATAAATGATTAGTTAGTTGAGTTTATTGTGTTTTTATTGTTTTATTAAATTGCTTGATTTTTTCGCAACCGTATTAAAAATAGTTGTTCAGTACACGTGCGGAACCGTCATTGCAACTTGTTCCGACCAGTCAATCCTCACCTTCGGCTGCGCCTCGGCTCGGGTAGACATTTGTCGGAACTCTTTTCAATGACAGGCTTTCCGCACTCGTAATGAAATATACTATTTAATAACTTGTAATCTATACTACTTATAAAATACATTATTCCTATAAGTTAGTAGTCTTGAACTATTTCACACCTATGTTGTTTGAATTTGTTTTGTTTCAGACCGTGCCAAATTTGTCCGATTAACGAAGAAGTTCGTTGCGAGCGATAGCAACACAGTATAAGAGAAAATCGTTTTTTTTTTTGTAAATATGAATATATTTATTCATGAACTAGATTTTATAAAGAATGTTTTGAATTCACATATATATGAATTTGAGGTGGATATATGGTTTCCATTGGTAGAAACAAAAGTTGGTTACATTCGTACTGTAGTATTAGTTCTTATCCAAGTAATACGTTTTATTATAAAGAGTGTTTATGTAGCAGTAAAATACTTTTTAATTCAATCGAATCGGACATTTAATTTCGAAGTCATCACGAGTATAAAAATGTAACATTTGCCATGTTTACGTACTCGCCAAGCACAGACGAGTAGGCACAACTACGAGCATGTAAACGCCTAGTTCGGGCGTTCTCGCTACTTGGGCCGTAAATTGTGTATTCTCCTGTTCTCCACTCGATGTCGGTTTTTTTGGCCCGAGTAAAAGGAATGCTCGTGTATATTCGTGTCGGTGTAAATATACTCATTATTCGCTTCATCCGTGAATTTTGTTGTAGGTGGTTATTATTTTTCTTATAAAATAATTTAGTAAAATAAAAACAATAAAAATACCTACCTATTGTGATGGATTGGGGTAACGAATATATTATTTTTATAAAATTTTATGGAGGAGAAACCGTGATATGAGGTCCTAGAAAAGACAATAAATATATCATCATCATCATCATCATTCCAGCCCTTCACAAGACCACTGCTAAACATAGGCCTTACCCAAGGAATGCCACAATGTACGGTCCTGAACCATCTGTATCCATCGATTTCTTGCATGTCTTGCTAGGTTGTCACTCCATGTTATGGAGGGCCATCACATACCGCCAAATAAATATATGTGAGTATATAAATATCTAGTAGATATAAAGTGGTGGCAACGAAATGCACGTCATCTTTGTTTACAAGATCTACATTGAATGATTACAGACGAGTATGTAAGCGCGTCATACTCGCACACGAATAACTCGAAGATTTGCTCGTGCCGATAATGTAAACGTGCCAACGTGCCAACGTGTAATACTGGCTCAGACCAGAACTCAGACGCGTAGTCGGCTCCTTACATAGCGGAAGGGAGCGATATTGCCTTGGAATTTTAACATTTTATTTAGTAAGATTTGAAATAGGTAGTTTATGGACTATACATAAATAAAACAGTTCTTTTTAGAACTACACCTCATTTAATTTAAAAAAGTGTTTTTAAGAACTACACCTGATTTTGTTTACTAGAAGACAGCTTTAAAAATATCTTTAGAAGTGAACGCCTCTAAGCGAGGTCTCGTGTCACGCGGCTCTGAAACCGATGGACACAGCTAGTTTATAATAATTTAGGATCTAATCGAAAGAGTCAATTCTCTACTATTAATCTTCTTCTTCATTAGCTCTGAAAATTCCACGACTGAATCTCAGACCAACAACTAATTTTAGACAGAGAAGAGAGTAGATAAGTAAATTGAAGCCAAAAAAGGGATATATCCCAATAGCAACATAATAGCAATCAACTGTTTTCACCAGCGTGATTCTGATGATTATTTACATACCTTACTGTCTTGATTACACCGTCACTACCCTAAACTACTAAATGTTTGAAAGTTCATCAGGAAATTTTATAAATAATACTAGATATGCATTTTGGTATTCATATTCCTGGCTTAATTTTTAACTTTACACGCTACGTCAATCTTATTCTATTGGTCTAAGTGCTGAATAATATGAGTCTGTAGAGAGGTTTACTTTAATAGAAAAAAATAATTGCTTGAAAATTCAACAGTGAACCATATAAATAATACTAGATATGCATTATTGTATTAATTTTGGCTGGCTTACTTTTTAACTTTAAGCGCTACGTTTATCTTATTCTTTTGGTTTAAGAGCTGAATAATATGAGTGTGTAGAGGGGATTTATTTTGATAGTTATTTTGTCTCACATCTTTGAAGCTGCTCCATAACGTCGATCTAAGTATTTTATGCCTTACGTAAAGATGATATTATTATATCATCTATCGGAAACCATAACATCTACCTAGCATTTCTCATACTCGCTTACGTCACCTACTATATTACAAATACTTGTACATTTTATTAAAACTATAAAATATCGGGGTGACAAAGACTGCAATATTGATATTTGTTCTGACAGCAGCTGCTGCTGTTGCAATAATTTCTCACAGTATAGTTAAGTTTAGACAGTCCCATACGGCTACGGTTTATTCCAGAAAGAAAAGATAAAGTTGAAAAATTTAGAAGGGACGATTTTCCGTACTTATAACATGTTTTAATCAACTCGCTTTCACGTCTGTCTATCTATCTGTATACATTTTGTAATCGATTTTAAACAATTTTATTTGTTTTCTCCATCACTTTGGCCCAGCGATCGCATATGTAGCAATTGTGTTCTCTACAAATCCTCCTCCGGCGGCAATGTATGAGGCGCTTACCTTTTACCACGAGTACGTTGTCTTCTGTCCATTTCTGTTGCACAGTTTGGTTAACGTTTAGCTATGTTTCATCAATGAATATAACGTTATCCCAATTGCTTATATTTTCTCGTAAAAATGTTATTCTTTGCATTCATGTCTCTAAATAATTATTTTTGTTCATTTTTTTTTGTATAGGAAGCCTGCATCTTCTAAACTTACTTGCAATGTCGCCACAGTGGATTTTACAGAAATTATAATTCATGATTTTATGCAATTCTAAAAAATAAATATTTAAATAAATATATAATAAATGTAAAGGTTCAATTATTTGATTATTTTTACCTATTATTTGCATTAGCATGAATTTGAATCATCCAAAAGTAACGTTCCGTAACGTAAGGTACACAATTACTTAACATTGAAACAACGTCAAACATAAAAGTTGACTCTGGTTAACTTTTTTATATTTTGAAAGATTCGGATATAAATGTGTGATAAAGAAATATAATATATTGTAATGAAATATAGATACCTTCGTAATTATTTGATTTACGTAAAAGGTTATTTTAATTCGTGTGAGTACGGTACAAAGTATTTGCGAAATAATTAATGTGAAACGTCGAAAGGTATTTCTTAGATTTGGTTGAGTATAGTTTTTGTTCTGATAAAGGTCAATGTTTTCATTTTAAATCCTTGGTTCATAGTAATTCATTAAATATCTAATGGGAGGAAAATTTAACACAAAACATATTTTTAGCGATAACTATTAATAGGTAAATTTACATTTGATTTTTATGGTAACGAGTTTACAAGTACGTAAATCACTGAACGCATGTCAGTTAATGGATGTCGACCCTTCCTAGTTAAGCGATCAATAACTTTGAAATATGGGTCAAGTTTACCTGTAGCGGACCTAGATCCAGTTCCTTCAGGCGCCCCTTTGTATGAAATGTTCATCGATGCTTGTTTATGTAAAAAAATACAATTTAAATGATTTAATTAATTAAAAGAGATATAATATTATTAGAGGGATAAAATTTAATTTAAACCTGTGTTGTAAAAGGTCCATGTGATGGTAGGTAGATAGCCTGTATGCCAAAAACCAGCAGCAATAAAAAAACTATGGATGCGTTGCCATGTCTGTGAATTATTATGGAATGCACGTAGTTATTTTTCAATAGAGTAATGCAATTCCACCTTTTTATTTATTTGAAATAAAATAGCTTATTCACATAATATAATATTATACAATACTTATTATATTATAAAACCAAATACTTAAATTATAGTACTTTCATAGTCCCTGCGGTAAATTCCAATAATGTTGACTGTGTTTCTTCGATGAATGGATATTACTTAGTCTCTGGGCGAAAAAAGAATCAGCTTTCTTCAGCAGTTTCTTAAAAAAATAACTGCGTATAGACCATACGAACCAATAGCTAATGGTACAAATATAAAGTCAATTTCTTTTAGATAGAGGTACCCCTGAGAAGCCACCAGTGTCCACACACGTAGCATCACACACTAAGGTTTTACATCTCTCTCAAGGGATCAAAGTAATATATTAGGAACATCTATAGAGATAAGAGCCCTTGATAACGTTGTTTGGGGAACCCTGACGGGGTAATCTCCCAGCACTTTTTTACCTAAAGGACTGCTCGTTGACGCCACTATTACAGGGACAGGTATCTGCTCTTAGTCGGATAGTCTATGCGCAAGCTTACCCCGTCAAGTGATTAGTCTTGATTACTTGATTGTAAATTGCGTAACCAATGAAGGCGGACCAGATCTTGGAAATTACGAAAATTAAATACCTAAATCTTTTTGTATATTCCACATCAACCGAATATCTATTAACCCTTTAGTCCCCATAAAATTCCCATGCAGTCGCATGTGCCTGGCAAATCCCGAGCGGTCGCATGCGACCACACCCACCCACAGCAATTAAAACCATTAAAACTTGTATTTAGATACTACTTTTCTATGAATAAGTTTGGCATTATAAAATCTATACAAAATTCTTCATCCTGTGGTCAAAACAAAAGTCAGGTTTTACTTCATTACAAAAAGATTTTATTGTATTTTGATAACAAAAATAAAATAAATAATTTAAAAAATCAAAAACCCGGCTGCAAAAAATACAATTTAAAAGTAATGGAAGCGACAGTAGCCTAATGGCAGGGCGCGGACCGCGAACTCAAAAAGGTCATGGGTTCGAATCCGCCATTCGACTACTGGCGTGAACCACTCGTAACACAAGCTTACCACGCGTGGATAAGGGGAATATTAGTATTGTTTATGGCATTGTTAATATTCTTTTAAAAAAATGTACTAAAAAGACCGAAACAAGATTGAGTAAAGAAAACAAAATTTAAAAAAAAACTATAAACAATGCAAACTCTACTTCGGTTTAACAGACTATATTATGAGCTCAAAGCCTAAGTTAAATAGCCTAAGTCAGCCTGTTTCGGCTTGACGTTGAGTTCTGGGACATCGTGTATATTAAGTTTAGTAGCAAGCGGAACCCATTAATTTTCTTTTGATTCCTTTATAATTTGTAATTGGATATATATATATATATATATATATATATATGTATATATATATATATATATATATATATATAATCCATTTTTAATTTCCTATATTTTGATATCCTAAGCGATAGGTTTAGTTAAAATAAATTCTAAAAAAATCCGCCAATTTGTTATTTAAAAAATTTCCATCTATGAACACTTTTAATAAGACGAATAAAACGATACCTTAATTGTCGAAATCCATCCAGCCGTTTGAAGATGCGAGGTAAGAAAGAAATTTACAAACATACAAGATCGCGCGAAAAACATAACCCTTCCTTGGCAGTCGGTTAAAAACATACCAAGCGGATGTCGTTAGCGTGACAATCACAATTATTTTTATATGTTACTCGAAATTATTTATGTAAAAAGATAAATTATATTCACACAAAAACTTTTATAACAATTTTATAATAAAACACTATAGTAAAACACTAATAAAACACTAGAAAAATCCAAAAATCAACACAACAACATCGAAATGAAAATTACGTACGTAATGAACGTAGAATATAAATTAATATCCATAGACTAACTGTTTTTTTTGTCACTTAGCGGTCAGCCGCCGTAGAGTCTACATTACCTGAAGATGCCTCGTGTAGAGGCGAAACACGTGTCGTATTATCGTCGATGGTGTGTCTTACCTGGAATAGTGGTGTTGGGAGTAGTGGTGCAGGGACTAGTGGTGACGGAGTTAGTGCATGCAATTGAGGGAGGGCGGGAGGTGCTCTTCAATCCAGGTTAGACACATCATTGTATTTATTTAGCGGAAGGTTGCAAAGAAATTTATATTTTTATTTTTTATTAACTGTTTTTGTATTCCACAAGAGGATAGAAAATTTCATATTGACTCTATAATGCTAAACTTCTTTATAGAAAAGTAGTCTCTAAACATAAGTATTTATGTGTTAAAGTGCTGTGGATGGGTGCGGTCAAATTTAACCTCTTCAATTTTGACGAAATGTCGAAGCGGTCAAATTAGAACGCTTGGCGTTAAGAGGTTAATTGAATAGCTTCCAATTACCGTGTAGTGGCGGTGTAAGAATATCTACTACCCCATATCATCGCGTGGGTTTCGTAAGAGGCGAAAGACGGAAACAAATGAGATGGGTGGCAGTGTCCTACTGATAACATCTAAGAATAAAAGTAACTGTGGCTGCGAACCCGTTTGCCAAGCGTGGCAAATATGGCAAATATCCCCTCTATGAGGCTATGGGGGAGGTCTAAGTTCAATAGGCTGTAACGGTAACAGTTCCAATGAAATATTCTTGCTTGGAAATTGTACTTGATAGTATTTGCATGGCTGCTCTGTCTCCGCAAA